ATTAATTAATGACTGACTGACTGAATGAATGAATGAATGACTGAATGAATGAATGACTGAATGAATTAATTAATTAATGACTGAATGAATAATGACTGAATGAACGAATGACTGAATGAATGACTGAATGAATGAATGACTGACTGAATGAATGAATGACTGACTGAATGAATGAATGACTGACTGAATGAATGAATGACTGACTGAATGAATGAATGACTGACTGAATGAATGAATGACTGACTGAATGAATGAATGACTGACTGAATGAATGAATGACTGACTGAATGAATGAATGACTGACTGAATGAATGAATGACTGACTGAATGAATGAATGACTGACTGAATGAATGAATGACTGACTGAATGAATGAATGACTGACTGAATGAATGAATGACTGAATGAATGAATTAATTAATTAATTAATTAATGACTGAATGAATAATGACTGAATGAACGAATGACTGAATTAATTAATTAATAAATGACTGAATGAATGAATTAATAAATGACTGAATGACTGAATGAACGAATGAATAAATTAATTAATTAATGACTGAACAAACGAACGAACGAACGAATGAATGAATGAATGACGGCGGCCCACTTTCAAAGCAGCGAGTGCCAGAAATCACTACGGTTGGTCTTTTCGCCGTAGTTACCAGTAATTACAGGCCTCTGTGAACGACTATTTCAAGAAACACAAGAAGGTGATGGAAAGGAGCTAAGTGACTTGTTGCTAGGTTACCGCATCAACTAAGTTAAAAGGAAGAATGAAGTGCGTTCGCTCTTGCTGAGCACAAACTTCAGTATAATGGAAGCTAAAAATAAGGCTTGCACTGACTCGTTGATTGATTCGCTCTCGGACAGACGGAGGTGGCCAGCGCAGAAGAAAACCAACGGCGGGAAGGAGACGGAGCGAGAAACTAAAGCTAAAGCTCAGCACCTGAAGCAGTGCAAGGCTACCGGTGCCTACGTCTCCAGCAGAACATAAACATGTGCAGAAATCTGTTTTTAGGAGCAACAAAACCTTATTTCCATGAGAAAATGCCCTCAAATACATACATATATATATATATATATATATATATTTAAAATATAAATTTGCACAAATTAATATAAAAAATAAAATAAAATATTATTGCTTACATTTAAGATGTATTTATTTGAACTGCATATAAAGTTTCCAGCACATAAAAATGTTTATAAATCATTTTTAGGAGCAATAAAACATTATCTTCAAATGCCCTCAAATTCTAATAAAATAAATAAAAATTAATAAGTATACTAAGTATTACTTATAATACTTATTACTTAAAATATTACTTATAATTTAACGCTACAATTATAATTAATGCATTTATCATTAATAATATGGAAAAATAATACATAAAAAATAAATATAAAATAAAATATTAATGCCTAAATTTAAGATTTATTTAAAATGCATATAAAGTTTCCATCCACGGTTTTAAACTAATAATTAATGTGATGCATATTTAATGCCAGTCATACATTAATGAAACAGGTCAGATTTCCACCATTAAATAAATAAATAAATAAAATTGTCATATTTTATTCTTAACTATTTGCACCTATTTGGTTTTATTTAAATTGTCATATTCTCACAATGCACTCATTCAGATTGATTAGAATCAGTATGCATGTGTTCATACTGAAAACAACTACATTTCTTCAGCTAAGAAAGTATGAACATGGTTAAAATGCTTAGCTGCAACATGCAATATGTAATTAGTTTATTAGCATCATAATGCATTTGAGTAACAGAAGCAAAGCCTCACCACTTGCAGCAGCGAGAGGTACCCGGCGCCCACGTTGTCGAAGTTGACCTTGACTTTGGTCCAGTAGTACTGCGTGCTGTTCATCTCCAAGCACTCGCTCTTGTTGTTGATGAAGGAGGCGTTGAAGATGAAGCCGGTGCGGTTGACGCAGCGGCCGAACTTCCCGGCGAACAGGTTGACTCCCATGATGCTGAAGATGAGCCAGAAGATCAGACACACCAGCAACACGTTCATGATGGACGGGATCGCGCCGATCAGAGCGTTCACCACCACCTGGTTACCGTGGAAACACAGCATCCTCAGATCAGCCGCTTTTATGCTCTCGCGTCAGCGATCTAAAACTCCTGATAACGCACACCGAGTGTCAAAGCACTTTAATAGCCATTCATAAAACACGAACATTATTAAAAGCTGAACTCTACTGGATCAAATGCATCAGAGAAGTGCGGATTTGAACAGTAAACCTCATAAAAGCTGTGAAGAACATGCCTAGGTCACGCCAAAATCTAAACAATGTGCATTAAAAATAAATGCATAAATCTGTTTTTAGGAGCAATGCATATATAAAGGCATTGATATTTTTCCAATATATTATCAAGTACATATATAATTTTCACTAATAATAATAATAATAATATTTATTAATATATACATGCACAGTCACACACATATATATGTGTGTGTGTGTGTGTGTGTGTGTGTGTGTGTGTGCGTATTAAAATCTATAAATTAAGTATACTAAGTATTACTTATAATACTTATTACTTAAAATATTACTTATAATTTAACGCTACAATTATAATTAATGCATTTATCATTAATAATATGGAAAAATAATACATAAAAAATAAATATAAAATAAAATATTAATGCCTAAATTTAAGATTTATTTAAAATGCATATAAAGTTTCCATCCACGGTTTTAAACTAATAATTAATGTGATGCATATTTAATGCCAGTCATACATTAATGAAACAGGTCAGATTTCCACCATTAAATAAGTAAATAAATAAAATTGTCATATTTTATTCTTAACTATTTGCACCTATTTGGTTTTATTTAAATTGTCATATTCTCACAATGCACTCATTCAGATTGATTAGAATCAGTATGCATGTGTTCATACTGAAAACAACTACATTTCTTCAGCTAAGAAAGTATGAACATGGTTAAAATGCTTAGCTGCAACATGCAATATGTAATTAGTTTATTAGCATCATAATGCATTTGAGTAACAGAAGCAAAGCCTCACCACTTGCAGCAGCGAGAGGTACCCGGCGCCCACGTTGTCGAAGTTGACCTTGACTTTGGTCCAGTAGTACTGCGTGCTGTTCATCTCCAAGCACTCGCTCTTGTTGTTGATGAAGGAGGCGTTGAAGATGAAGCCGGTGCGGTTGACGCAGCGGCCGAACTTCCCGGCGAACAGGTTGACTCCCATGATGCTGAAGATGAGCCAGAAGATCAGACACACCAGCAACACGTTCATGATGGACGGGATCGCGCCGATCAGAGCGTTCACCACCACCTGGTTACCGTGGAAACACAGCATCCTCAGATCAGCCGCTTTTATGCTCTCGCGTCAGCGATCTAAAACTCCTGATAACGCACACCGAGTGTCAAAGCACTTTAATAGCCATTCATAAAACACGAACATTATTAAAAGCTGAACTCTACTGGATCAAATGCATCAGAGAAGTGCGGATTTGAACAGTAAACCTCATAAAAGCTGTGAAGAACATGCCTAGGTCACGCCAAAATCTAAACAAAGTGCATTAAAAATAAATGCATAAATCTGTTTTTAGGAGCAATGCATATATAAAGTCTTTGATATTTTTCCAATATATTATCAAGTAAATATATAATTTTCACTAATAATAATAATAATAATATTTATTAATATATACATGCACAGTCACACACATATATATGTGTGTGTGTGTGTGTGTGTGTGTGTGTGTGTGTGCGTATTAAAATCTATAAATAGACAGATTATTTATTTATTTAATAATATATAGAAAAATATTAATGTCTACATTATTTTCCATCCATTTGGATTCCACAGTTTGAACAAACTAATAATATAATGTGATTCATATTTGTCAGTCAAACATAAATGAAACAGGCCAGATTTCTGCACTAACTAACTAACTAACGAACTAACGAACTAACTAACTAACTGACTAAATAAATAAATATAAGTTATAATTTATTATTAACAATTTGCATCTATTTGATTTTATTTAAATAATCATTATTTATTCCATATTTAATTTAATTTAAATTAATTTAATTAAAATAAAAAAAATTCTAAATGTCTTAAAATAGGCTTCAATTTCTGTATGTTAATATATATATATATATAATTTAATATAATAATATAAAAAATTAATAAATTATTTTATTTATTTTTTGGTGGGGCTGAAATTAACCGTCCTTGACACACTTCATCTGATTCACCAATAAATACATTTGTTAAATAACACATGCTGCTCATGCTTTGTGAATATGCGTGTGAAATAAAGCATGGCATGGATCGTGAGCGTGCCGGCTGTATTGAGTGGATGTGAAAGTGCTGAGCGGGTTTAGATGGCGGTCTGTGTGAGACAGCACTTTCTAAAGCGGCGTGACGTCTAATCTGATTTGCCAGATTTCTCATTGGCTTTCACTGAGCGTGCAAATCTAAAGCAGAGCCGTTCACTTCAGTCCGGACAGAACTGCAGACGCATTACAGAAACACAACACTATATCAGCATTAATGCACTTCAGTTTGTTTCTTTAATCCATTTCAAATCAAACTTTATTTCTTAAATGGTTAAGGCAAGACACTACAGGCAGAAATATTGCCTTTCATGCACTTTCATGATTTTCATAAAGTGTTGTTTCAGACTCGTGAAAGAAAACATCTAAAATATACTTTTTAGTTTAATTATTATTATTATTTTTAGTTATAGTTATTTTAGTATAGTTCATTTTATTTACTTTATCTATTTGTGCCTGTAGATTTCAAATTTTAATAATGGTTATTACAGTTATCTAAAACTGAGACCAATTTTTGGTACTTGAAATAAAATCAAATAAAACTTGCTTTATTTCAGCTAGTTGCCAAAGTGACATTTTTTTCATTTTAATTTAGTTCATCTTGATGCAATAAAAATGTAAACTAAAACTGAAATGAATGAAAACTATAAACATATATTTAAAAAAAAAAGAGACAAAAACACAGAACAAAATTACTTAAACTTTAACAAAAATTCAAATGAAAACAGCAAATATAAAAATAAAAATTAATTCAAAATCGTATTAAAATTATAATAATATATCAATGCATCAGAGAAGTGCATGTTTATAAAAAATATAAATATGCATATATAATACGTATATTATATAATTATAAAAATTATATTTCAGACATTTAAAAAAAGACAAAAACACAACAAAATTACTAAATTTAAATTAAAAATAAAACAAATTCAACATATTCTTAAAAACTATAATAATATATAGAATGATACTAATATAACCCAGTACTTGCATATACAAATTTAACAGATTTACTTCTATATTCTGGTTTTATCCAATCTTCAGATTAATGTTCTGGAAATTAGTGCAGATTTAATTAAATAATACCTCATTTGGATATTTAAACATACTATTACAGAAAACATCAAATATATCTGTGATTCTTAATGTACTCAATCAGATGGGGAAGTATAGTGAAATCTATTAGTTTAATGTTTTATATTCAGCTGCGTGTCTTGCCTTAAATCTCAAATGGCTGAAATATCACTGTATAACTAATATTATTAATATGTGACCCTGGAGCACAAAACCAGTCATGAGGGTCAATTTTTTTAAAATTGAGATTTATGCATCATATTTGATCGAGATACAACTATTTGAAAATCTGGAATCTGAGGGTGCAAAAAAATCTAAATATTGAGAAAATCATCTTTAAAGTTGTTCAAGTGAAGTTGTTAGCAATGCATATTACTAATCAAAAATTAAGTTTTGATATATTTACGGTAGGAAATTTACAAAATATCTTCATGGAACATGATCTTAATATCCTCGTGGTGCTGCCTGGTGTGTGAGGATGAGGAGGAGATGAAGATAACACTGAGTTTGTGAGACATTCAATTATCCAGAATACTGATGGTGTTTCCCAGCGGACAGAAAGCAGCTTCATCATTCATTCAGACTGTGTAATAATCTACTGTAAGCACAAACACTACTGTACTCATACACCACGCTAACACCCTGTAATACTGACAGCAAATCAAACACAATCATACATGCAACTGCAGGAAAAGGAAGATAACACTGGACAATTAACACTGAAGTCCTCCTTCTGTATGCCTATTTCAGTTTTTGATTTGATGCAAATGATCATTTACTTATATTTACTTCTATCGTGTAATTTGAATATTTATTTGATTAATTTTAATATTATCCATCAGTGAGAAATCTCCTCAAAATGTCACTGTACTTTGTAGTATTTTAATTATAATTTTTTAATTCAGTTAAATAATTTATTCTTATGTTTATTTTATTATTTTTAATATAATCCATAAGTGAAAAATCTACTCAAAATGTCACTGTATTATGTGATATTTAATTATAATAAATTTATATGTAATTATATATAAAATTTTAATTTTATATATTTGTAATTCTCATTAAATTCGCATTAATGTAAAAATGCATTAATATCAGCATAAATTAAAGGCAGTACAACAAACACTATATATAAAAAATATTATTTTTAAATCTAGAATTATAAGAATTTGGGTTAAAATGTGGTTAAAAAAAATCTTAATTTCCCTCAAAAACAGCTTAATATTTTGAGTTTGGGCTGAAATGTGACCTCAACATAATTTCAGACCACTGATATTTTCTTTCTATCCTATTAATGAGATTTTAATAAACTATTCAAGCAATCTAAAAGCAGATTAAAAGACGGTAACCCTGTTTAAGCCAGCCTAAGGTGGTTAGGTGGTCTGGTTTGATGGTTTTAGAGGGGTTTTGGATGCTTGTCAACAGGGCGAGACCATCTTAAACCTGCTAAACTCTTAAAAATACAGATTCTTTATTGGCTTCTACTGGTTTCATGAAGAACCTTTAACATCCATGGAACCTTTCAATCGCACAGAAGGTTCTTTATAGTGGAAAAATGTTCTTTAGCTTATTAAAATGTTCTTCATACCAAGTTATGATTTTTTGTTGCATTATTATTTAAATGACTTAACTAATACATGATTAAACATGTTTCCCCCAAATTTTAATTTTATATATTTGTAATTCTCATTAAATTCGCATTAATGTAAAAATGCATTAATATCAGCATAAATTAAAGGCAGTACAACAAACACTATATATAAAAAATATTATTTTTAAATCTAGAATTATAAGAATTTGGGTTAAAATGTGGTTAAAAAAAATCTTAATTTCCCTCAAAAACAGCTTAATATTTTGAGTTTGGGCTGAAATGTGACCTCAACATAATTTCATACCACTGATATTTTCTTTCTATCCTATTAATGAGATTTTAATAAACTATTAAAGCAATCTAAACGCAGATTAAAAGACAGTAACCCTGTTTAAGCCAGCCTAAGGTGATTAGGTGGTCTGGTTTGATGGTTTTAGAGGGGTTTTGGATGCTTGTCAACAGAAAATACAGATTCTTTATTGGCTTCTACTGGTTTCATGAAGAACCTTTAACATCCATGGAACCTTTCAATCGCACAGAAGGTTCTTTATAGTGGAAAAATGTTCTTTAGATTATTAAAATGTTCTTCATACCAAGAAAACAATGTTTTTTTTTAAAGAACAGTTCACTCAATGGTTCTTTAGGGAACCAAAATTGGCTTCTATTGGTTCCATGAAGAACCTTTAACATCCATTGAATCTTTCCAGGTTCTTTATAGTGGAAAAATATTCTTTAGATAATTAAATGTTCTTCACACCAAGAAAACAATGGTTCTACTAACGGTTCTTTGGGGAACCAAAAATGGTTCTTCACTCTTAAAAATAATGTTTCCAAAACGGGGTTCTTGCAATGAGGCTGTAGAAGAAGCACTTTGGTTCCTCAAGGAACCTTTCAGTCATCAGTTCTTTCTTGGTCTGAAGAACGTTTTAATGATCTAAAGAAACTTTTGTGCAATGAAAAGTTTTCATGGATGGTAAAGGTTCTTCATTAGAACCACCAATGCACCAACTCTTTATTGGCATTGATGGTTCCATGAAGAACCTTTAACATCCATTTAATCTTTCCATTACAGAAAAGGTTCTTTATAGTGGAAAAAAGGTTCTTTATATTATTAAAATGTTCTTCACTTTAAGAAAAAAATGCTTCTTATAAGAACTGATCACTCAAAGGCTCATTGGCGAACCAAAAATGGTTCTTCTATGGAACAGCTACAGAACCCCCCTTCTGAAACTTTTATTTTTAAGAGTGAGTTCTTAAAAGAACCATCTTTTCTTAGTGTGAAGAACATTTTGATAATCTATAGAACCTGTTTCCACTATAAATAACCTTTTGTGCAATGAAACATTTCCATGGATGTTAAAGGTTCTTCATTAGAACCACCAATGCCAATACACTCCTAAAAATAAAGGTTCTTTATTGGCATTGATGGTTCCATGAAGAACCTTAGACATACATTGAATCTTTCCAGGTTCTTTATAGTGAAAAAGGGTTCTTTAGATCATTAACGTGTCTTTCACAAAAATAAAATAATGGTTTTTTTTTTTAAACTGAGCACTAAAGGTTCTTCAGGGAACCAAAAATGGTTCTTCTACGGAACAGCTACAGAACCCCCCTTCTGAAACTTTTATTTTTAAGAGTGATTTCTTAAAAGAACCATAATTTCTTAGTGTGAGGAACATTTTGATAATCTATAGAACCTGTTTCCAGTATAAAGAACCTTTTGTGCATTTGAAAGGCTCCATGGATGTTAAAGGTTCTTCATGGAACCATCAATGCCAGGACAAATAAAGGCTCTCGATTGGCTTCTATTGGTTCCATGAAGAACTTTTAACATGCATTGAACCTTTCCAGGTTCTTTGTAATGGAAAAAAGTTATTTAGATCATTAAATGTTCTTCACACCAAGAAAACAATGGTTCTTTTAAGAATTGATCACTAAAGGTTCTTTGGGGAACCAAAAATGGTTATTCTACGGCATCAATGCAAAAAACCCTTTTGGAAGCTTTATTTTTAAAAGTGTGGAACCTTTCCATTCAACAAAAGTTCTTTATAGTGGAAAAAGGTTTAAAACGTTCTGCTTCTTTCACTGAAAAGTTCTTTGGGGAACCAAAAATGGCTTTTCTAAGTAAAAACCCTTTTAAGAGCATACGACCATAAAACCACCACAGGCTGGTTTAAGAAGAAGTTTCTAATGACCGATTTTTCTCTCCTCAGCCAATTCCCTGAAAAAATACGGAGCCTTCCTGTTTCTGTTAAAAAAAACGAGCGAAATCGCTTGAGAACCTGTAGCATTAACAGATGTGACAGAGAGACGAGTGTATCTTACCCTCATGCCGTCAAACCGGGACAGCGCTCTCAGTGGCCTGAGGGCTCTGAGCGTTCTGAGAGATTTGATGGCAGCAAAGTCCGAGTAGCCCAGCGTGTTTGCTACAAGGCTTACGAGAGACACCTGAGTGACAGAGAGCCGAGGAGAAAGAGAAGATAGAAACGCAGCGTTAGGACCGCAATTACATCACACCCGCTGCAGTCCTGCGGAAGGAAACGAGGCGTCAGACTGCGGCGCTAGGAGGAAAAACAGGGGTTAGTTGTCACAGAAACCCGGTTCCGGCGAGCTGTTAAGGAGGAATGCTGTTTTAAGCACCATTGGTGGTTGTTTCATCCCTCCGCTGTGACCTGTGAAGGACTGAAGGGGGGTTTAGAGGGCAGCTGTCTATTGAGTCTACTCAGATGGTGCCGGGCCCCGGGCCCCAGTCAGAGCGGCTCTTACCCTCATCCCAGCAAAGCGAGACACGGCGCGGAGAGGCCGCAGCGCCCGGAGCGTCCGCAGAACCCGCATGGAGCCAATCTGATCATAATTGACCACACGTGCCACCAGACCAATCACTGACACCTGCATGAAGCGAATTATAGCTCGTTTAGTTTCCATGAGTTTCGCATGAAGTTCATATTTTCCATATTAATCAACTGGGATTGTTGTGTTCACGTTCCAATCAGTCTTTAGAAATAAAAAAAAAGTAAATGCATTTCATGTGCATTTAGTAGCTTTAAAAGTACTTGATATTATTCATCATACATATTAAAATCTCATAATTTTATTCACATTAATCAAATTGGATTGTTTTGTCCATGTTCTAGTCAATCTTTAGAAATAAAAAAACTATTTCAATGCAAAAGCAAATGCATTTCATATGCAATAAACAATTTTTAAAGTACTTGATGTAATTTATCATAATATTTTATTATATACATATACATATATGTATATATATATATATATATATATACTAATTTATTATAATAAATATTATACTATATTAAATATAATTTAATATTATAGAAATATTAAATTCTAAAAATTATATACAAATTTAAAATATAAAAACTAAAAATAAAATATCATAAAAAATATTACAATGTTCATATTATTCATGTTAATCACATGGGATTGTTTTGTCCATGTTCCTCTCAGTCTTAATAATTAAATACATAAAAAAATCAATGATTTCATGTGCATTTAGCTTTAAAAGTACTCAGTCTCATTTATTATAAATATTGGAATCTCAAATTTCATATTATTCATATTAATCAAATTCTGTCAATGTTCCAGTCAGTCTTTAGAAATCTAATCTAGAAAAAAAAACTATTACTAATTTATTGTAAATAATCAAATGAAATTCATATTAATCAAATGGGACTATTTTGTCCATGTTCCAGTCAATTTTCAGAAATATTACTCCAAATAATATCCACTCAATAGGACAAATTCTTCTGAGAATCTTTCACGATTAAAGAAAAATAAATAAATTGTTTCATATTATTCGTATTAATCAAATTGGGATTGTTGTGTTCATGTTCCAGTCAATCTTTAAAAAACTATTAAATTTCAATTTCAATGCAAAATCTTTAAAAGTACCTGATGCAATTTATTCTAAATATTAAAATTTAATACATTTAAAATTATTCCGATAGTACAAAATCTTATATCCAAAGAGAATTATACAGCATTTCATACATAATTTTTCATGCATTTCCCGGGAATCGAACCCATGACCGTTGTGTCTTCTGCACTTTACTTCTGTGCTTTAAAATACATATTTTAAGCACATTTTCTACATCATCTCATCAAGTGTCAACAAACTGCATAACGTGAAAAGTCTAAACTACTGTATTTGATCAGTATTTCATGCTGCAGTGAAGGTGGAGGTGAAGTGTGCAATTTCTGCAACACTTGCATCAGCAAACAGATTTCAACATCAAAAATAATTGCACACTTCACCTTTCACATCACAACTTTACAGGCTCCTGTAGTTCTGAATTCACAGCTCTCCTCATCCTCTCTTTTATTCTCATTGAATGGAGCCACACAAATAAAACTCAAATCCATATAAAAGCACAGATCAGTTACACTGCAGAATCGGGACAATGATGCAGTCGTGGTTGTTTCGGCTCTTTGGTCACAGTAACAAATTATTTTTAACTGATGAACAGATGAATGCTCTACCACGAATATAGTGTGTAGCTTAGAAAACTAGACTAATGAGGAAAAATACAATAGTTATGGCCTGCTAACATGATCCCATTAATGTTTGTTCATAGTTCCACATATGCACAGCAGACATACATTTATCATGTTTGGATAACTGTGTTTTTTTGGACAAAATTTCTTAATTATCTGATAATTGAGAGTGTTGCTATGGGATTATTGCGTCTTTGTCTCTTTCAAAAAAAAAAAAAACATTAATTAGAAATCAGTGTCAATATAAATGCATTTAACCCTCTGGTGTGATGGATGTACTGTATTTTAGTTTTTATTTAATATTTTGTATTTTTAGGGGATTTTATGGTACTAAATTATATATAAATAGAATAGTTATGATCCATTTAATACCTGTTAATACTTTTTGAGCATAGAAAATAAAACCTGAAAATGAAATTTCCAACTTAAACTGTTGTAAATCTTTTTTTATATATATATATATATATATTTGATATGACATACATATTTTCCAAAACATGTTTTACTCTAAAATTGTGGGGAAAAAATTATTTGATATGACGAACATATTTACCAAACATGTTTTACTCTAAAATTGTGAAAAAATTTTTTTATTTGATATGACGAACATATTTTCCAAAACATGTTTTACTCTAAAATTGTGGGGAAAAAAATGTATTTGATATGACGTACATTTTTTTTTTTTTTTATTGTGAAAAAATTAATCATAAATCTAAACATGTTCCAAATTTGAGGTCTCATTTTTTTAATTGTATTTTTTTTTTTAACTCATAAAATTGTAAAAAAAAATAATAAAAAAAATATGTGTATATATATATAATGTTTTTCTAAGTTTATGGGAGTATTTTATTTTTATTTTTTTACAAGAAATAGCTATTTCAGTTTTCTGCATCATAATTTCATGTTTAATTCAGTGTGTTGCCTTTTCTTTGTGATTATGAAATTTACTAGCAATTTCTAAGTGAAAATTGTTTTAAAGTAAATCCTACAGCAATTTTTTTTTCAGTGTAGGTTCTTATTGTATCAGGATCAAACCAAATATGTGCACAAATACGAACTTATGCACATAACTACAGATACTGAAATAAAGGGCCAACACAAACAGCACTGTATCACTGGACTGAATCTGCAGCTCAAACAACAGCAAAACAACATGATAATAATTATAAATGATCATCTTTTAATATTACTGATGAAGTGCTGGAAAGCTGAACCACAGCTGATTTGATTATTATACAATACAAAAGTTGCTCTCTGTAAACCCGAGCTCATTCAATCTTCCCGAGATTTTAAATGTTTTATAATAATGCTGTTATTCATTCGCTGCACTTTGCAATCAGATGCTGGGGAAATAAATTGATGCACTTACAGCCACAATGAGAAAGTCCAGCCAGCACCAGTAGTTGGTGAAGTATTTCCTGAAACCGTAGGCGATCCACTTCAGACTCATTTCCAAGATGAAGATGTAGGTGAAGATCTTGTCTGCGTATTCAAGCACCACTTTGACCACTTTCCTTTGTTCAATGTAAATGTCTTCAAATGCCTTTCAACAGAAAGACACAGAAGCAGCAGTGTGTTAACAAACCAGACGTACAGAACAAGCTGAGGAAGACTTCAGACGCTCATCTGTGTCACATTCATGTTATATTAACACATTGGACAGTGAACTGAATGAGGACGGATTGGGAAAATCTACAGAAATATGACAGAAAAGCACCACGAACGTTTTATTAAAGTGATGTTTAGATTAATGACATTATAATGTGCCACATTATAAAGAAAGTAAGTAATTTGTGTTTAGACTATTGCTGTTTTAGTATCACTGAGATACTGTTATCAGGGTTAACTAAAACTAAAACCAATAAAATTAAATAAAAAAAATTAAAAGTTAATTAAACTACAATAAACATTATTGGCAATGCAATGCAATGAAAATAAAATAAAATAAAATAAAATAAAATAAAATAAATGAATCGAATCAAATCAAATCAAATCAAATCAAATCAAAACTAAAAATAAACTTATTTTGTTTCAGTTAATTGCCAAAGCAACATTTTAATTTAGTTGAACTTGATCTACTAAAATAACTAAAACAAACAAATTTTTTTTTTAAAAAACACACAAAAAAATATAGACATTTAAAAAA